ATACTGAAGTTGTAGGAGTATTCAGCGACATCACGTTTCGAACCTGGGATTCTTTGATCCATAGTCCAGTATGATAACCACCGGGCCACACCCACCTCTTCTGTAATAATTTATCTATGAAAGGATTAAGCATCTGTTTCCATTTTTAATGGTCTATCCAAAGATTTTTAGAAATGCCTATATCATTATTTAACACCCAGTATGCAAGTCCGAAAGACATGTTTGGTGTCTGATTCCCAAACAAAACTTTCTGACTCTCTCTCTATTTAAATTCTGAAAAGATATTTGAACACTTTGCGATATCTAGAATCTTCACTGCCCATCAATATGGCCAAATTCACATTAATACGGCAGTAGTCGCACTTGTTTGGAAATACAAGTTCTAGTTTCTCAGCAGTATAAAACCGTTTTCTCCGCGGTTTTGGCGATTTATTTGATAGATATGGCCGAGAAAGGCTCAACAAAATTTACTTGCCGCTGTAAAGTCGCTAAGTGAAGTACCTGCTTGAACATGAGCACTTGTACAATTTTGTGCAAAAGAAACACAGCCCTCCCCCCAACCCTGCATCTTCGTGGCCGAACACTATTGAGCGATGTGTTCGGTTTGAAGTAAAGTGTGTTTTTGAGGTTAATAGATCAAACCCTTTATCGAAGTACATTTTTTATGTTCAAACTCAAATACTGGAAACCGTGACACTCTTCTGTAGCCCACACAATCCCCCGAATTTGGTCTCAATTAACTTGCTAATTTGGGTGTTAACGGTCTAGAGATACATTGATAAAACGTGCTGATCTGTGAATCTGAGAGTCCATAGTCCGAGTTCTGTTGCTGCAACGTATTTCTTCCCATTTTGTGGTTAGGGCGTTCGAATCGCAATCTGTGGGTCGCGAATTTGAATCCCCGTCCCACCAAACATGCTCGCCCTTCCAGCCATGTGGCCATTATAATGTAACGGTCAATCCCACTATTCGATTAAGAAGTCCAGGAGTTGGCGGTGGGTGGTAATGACCTTCCCTCTAGTGTTTTACTGCTAAATTAGGGACTGCTAGCGCAGATAGCTTTGCGCGAAATTCAAAACAAACCAAACCCATTTTGTGACCACGAGTGCGTTATAAGACTGAATGTCAAATCTGACTATTCGATTAAAGTAACCCAAGAGTTAGCAATGAGTGTTTTCTCTCTAGTCTATCAATTCAAAATTAGATATGTTTAGTACAGATGTCCCTTATGTGGCTTTGCACATATATTCTAAACAAAAACACCATATTCTGTTAAAACACCTACTTAATTGTTTAATAATTTATCCATATACTGTTAAAACACTCATTTAATTGTTTAATAATTTATCCATATATTGTTAAAACACCTATTTAATTGTTCAATAATTTATCCATATACTGTTAAAACATCCATTTTTATC